TCTCTGCCCTTCGCCCCCTGTGCTCTTCCGCCACCCACCCCCCAGCCCCGTCACTTAAATATCAGCCCTGACTGGGGCCACGGTGCCTTTCTCTGGAAGTGGATGCGTCTTGACAGGTGTTTTCTGTGGGGGCAGTTATTTATAGCCGCGAAAGCAATCGTGCACGGGCCGCTCCCCTCTTCCCCACCCCCTTCCTCGTTCCTGCAAAACGGAACATATTTTCTGTTTTCCCACGGGGGAAAGTGCCAAATCACTGGCTTAGCTCTCTCTCCCTTTCCCGCCCTGCATTCTCTCCCAGCGTCTCTTTCTCTGCCCTGCCCTGGTTGTCTGTCTGGCCTGGCTTCCAGACAGGGTTCTGGGATTTTTTTCGGGTCCCGATCCAAGGCCGGCAGTAGTCAGACCCCAATCCATTACCCCGCAGAGAGTCTCTGGGCCCTCAGCATCACCGTCTACAGGGAAATGACATGAGAGGCTCCTGTTTCTGTCTCCACATTCTCTCCCTCGATGTCACCCAACTAGGTGGAACTTTGGGGAACGGGAGCAGAGTCAGTTTTCCATCTGCTCTCCCACCCTCCCAGCCTCTCTGCACCCCCAAACTCTACCTTCAGCGAAGACCTACCCAGGCAGAGACCCCCTCGGGCCCCCTCTTGGCTTTCTCTGCCATCCCACAATTCTCCTCCCCCTGCCCATGCCATTCCTGCACCTCTCCCTGACCTCACCTCCTCATACTTTTGAGTGTCACCCCCAGTGCACTGAGTGGCTCTGTGTCCACTGGCCCCTTCATGGTCCCCCTGCTCCTGTCTCTGGGCCGGCTGTCCCTTCCCCCCTACACTTAGAGTAATAGCTAAGGGACTGGCCCATGGAGCAGATTCCGTTGCTAAGGAAACCACTTCCTTGGTTACCAGCCTGGGTAGCATTTGTTTTCCAGCGCCTGGATCCTGCAGTCACCCCCCCCCCCCCACACACACACACACTTTCCAGGAAGATGGGGAGGAGGGGGCCGTGGAGGGGACAAAGAGGGAGAGGGAGCAAGAACCGGGGAGGTGTTGGCACCAACAGAAGCCAAGGTCAAGAACAACACAGACAAAATGAGGAAAAAGAGAGAGAGAGAGAGAGAGAGAGAGAGAGAGAGAGAGAGAGAGAGAGAGAGAAGAAAGAAAAGAGACGAGGTTTAATGAGCAGCTGAAGAAAGTAACAACAGAGGCGGGAAGCGCGAGGCTCACCCCATCAGAGAGGAGGAAGGGAAGAAAAGCAGAGCCAGAGAGAAGGTGGGGGCAGGGAGCAGTCTCTGGAGAGGGGCAGTCCCACTGCTGGGCGGTCCCCCAGCAGCCCCTGCCCCCTCACGTGCAGAGAACGGGTCTGCAGCAGGTCCCGGGTCGCTGTAGACATTGGGGGTGCAGGCCCAGCCCAGGGCTGCCGGATGCGGCTCTCAGGTCCCTGGGGCCACAGCAGGATGGGGTGGTCCCTGTGGTGGGGACCCTGGGGAGGATGTTGTGCTCTTGGGAGCAGAGGACAGCGGCCAGTCCAGCTCTGCTGCCCACCTCTGAGACTCCCGTCTGTGACTGCAACGCCCCCCCCACAGATATTGGGGTTCCAAAGGACCTTGTGGAGGTGACTCCAGTCCTTTGCCTTCCCTGCCCCACCATCCAGCTTCCAAAAATCTTTCTGACCAGCTACAAGCCCCAACTTAGGACTTGGTGACATCACAACTCTTCTATTTTTTTTAGGGGGGGTGTCACACCTGGTGATGCAGAGGTTACTCTCGGCTCTGCACTCAGGAATTACTCCTGGCGGTGCTCGGGAACCACATGGGATGCTGGGAATCGAACCCGGGTTGGCTGCGTGCAGGGCCAATGCCCTCTCCGCTGTGCTATCACTCCAGTCCCAACATTTCAACTCTTGAGGGACTGTTGTTTGGGGGGGAGGGGTGGGTCTCTTTGTTTCTTTTTAAATCCTTGGAAGTTAGAGCTGTTCCTGGCACAGACCAGACACTCGGTGCACAGGTGTTGAATGAATGAATGAATGAATGCTTTGCTTCCTTTGGGGTCTTATGTTGTGATACCAAGAGTTGAGGTATCAAGACTGAGATCTCAAGATTGGACTCACAGTGGTAGCTGGGGCTGATAAAAAGACCAGGGAGGAGGTTGCTAGGACATCAGTGTCAGCCCCTTCGCTGCCCTGAGGGGCTGAAGCATCCCACCCACCCCAGGGAGGGTCTTGTGGGGTGAGGATCCCCGAGTCTGTGAGACCCCAGGAGGAGCCCCCTTGCTGAGGAGCTGGTATGGGTTCTGACTTAGAGGTGATGGGAAATGGGCCTGTTGGTTCAGGCTCAGCCTGAGCCCAGGGTCGAGGCGGGCCTGATCAGGAGTGGGCTGGGTGGTCCAAACGGGGCTCGGAACCACACTGCTCTCGGCCTGCTCAGGGCCACACTGTCCGTGGGTGTCGTGGGGGGCTTTGGGCCTGGCGCAGACTCAGTGGGCAGCGGGCATCAGAGGTGTGGCTGGGAGCAGGGCTGTGGGATGGCTCAGGTTCCAGGTCAGGTTCAGCCTGGGACCGGGATGGGAGTTTCTCTGTGACCCAGCGGGGAGATGCTGGCCTTGGAGCTCAGCCTGGGACCAAGGCCTGGCTTGAGACTGGGGTCAGAGGTTAGCTCAGGGCCCGCTGGTCATCTCAGAAGAACCTGGAGCGCCAACAGGAGTCTCCAGGTGAGACAAACCCCACGAGTCTCCTGTCATCCCAGCAGTTCCTTCCCTCCTCCGGAGCTTCAGGCAGCCAAGACAGGGTAGAAAAAGCAACTCCTGAGCTCCCCTCTCCCTCCAAGGGGGGACACGAGGCTCCCCCCAGGCCACTGCAGGTCTGGACACTGATGCACCTCGGGGGCTGCTCACTTCACCCCTCAGCCTTTCACCGACGCCTCTCCAGTACACAGCACCCACACTCAGAGACCCCCCACACTCGCAAATACCATGAGACGCTCCCACCCTCAGGAACCCTTCACCAACCATGCCAGGACATATCCATCCTTCTAGAATCTTCTTAGCCTCCCCCCCCACCCCCGCCCAACCCATGGTCACCAAAGGCAAAATGTACATGGTTGTCAGCCCTCCACTGTCATCAGGGGCCGTGGCCACACGACTCGCCTCCATGCAGGTGTGACCTTGCTGCACCCGGGAACCCCCATCCCCGACAGAGATGGGACCATCGTGGCTTCCCCCTGGGGCCTGTGCTCTAGTGGCACAGAGGAACTGCACACACGGATCCTGGCCGTCATGACCATTACAGGTATGAGAACAATTGTGTGCCTTAGGACATTCTCTGCCTACGTCCCCTCTCTGTCATATCCAGGTCCTAAACCGAGGCTCAACCACGCAGAAAAGCACCAACTGTCTGGACCCGCCCAACACAACACTCTGCCACAGGGTTAAATTATCAACAAAACTTGCTTTTAATGACGGTGTTGACCTGAGGAGTCTTCAGAGAGAGACAGACGGGACTGTGGTCTGAAGTGACCGCAGACGAGAATGGGCCCGGGTGTTGGGCCGAGTCTCCCGGAGAGAGGGACCTCCCAGGGGGAGGGGAGGCCAGAACCTCTCCTGGGGAGAGAGAAGCCTAGAAAGTCGCCTGGGTGGCGGGGGTGGGACACGGTACAAAATACATTCAGAGCCCCCCAGCCCTGGCTCTGGAGTGGCCCCTTGCCTACAGCGAAGGGGGTCCCGGAAGGGAAGCCTCGAGCCCCACCCCTGGGTCTTCCTCTTTGCATGGCGGGTTCCCGGGGGTGGGAATGAATTAGTCGTATTCCTCTTAAAAAAATATATCTCTTTGCACGCGCCTTCTCCAGTCTCTTGGCTGTTTGGGAGGGAGCCTTCCCGCACCACACGGCTCCAGCGGGACTGGGGGGAGGGCAGCTCCAGACAGGAGGCAAAGGGCTGGGACCTATGGCTTTTGCGTCGATGTGGTGGGGAGCAGGTGTGTGGGGGCTGGGGGCTGGAAAAGCAACACAGGTGGGGGGAGCGAGGAGCCCCAGGTGGGCGCCTTCTGAGAGAGATGGTCAGGGCTCTGGTCCTTGGGAATCCTTTGGTCTGATGTCTGGGCTGGAGCACAGGGCGTGTGTGGACATGAAGGGTCCCCCCTCCCCTGTCTGATGGCCAGGAGAGGTGAATGCTGCAGTGGTGGGCTCGACAGGGGGTGGGAGCTCATAGTGTGGTGCCCTGGATGCCCTCCCACACCAGGAGCACAGAGGGACCGCGGAGAGGAGCCCGAGAAGGGTTGTGTCAGATCCGAGTACCGAATCTGCCATGTGCCACAGTGCCACGGAGGCTCTCGCTCTTGCTAAGATGCTGCAGGCCTCAGAGTGGGGGGTAAACTGAGGCCCTTGAGGGTGGAGTACAGGGCCCCAAGGCCACAGGCCCCAGTCTGGCAGAATCCTGGTCCAAGAGTGGACGAGGCCAGCAGAGTTTCTTCTCAGGAGCAGCATGGCCTGGGGTTGGGTTCCAACACGGAAGACCCCACGTGAGCACCACTGCCTCCCGCCGCCCAGAACGTCCCAAACCCGGGGCCACAGGGAAGCATCCCTGGAACCTCTCCTCAGACTGAAGGTGGCCGGGGTCCCCCTGGGTGCCAGCACTTTAGGGCGGGAAGGAGAAAGGGAGGCCTTAAAAGCTCAGCCGTGGGGCAGGGGTCCAGGACCACTTCTTAAAGCAAGTTTCTTCAGCTCTCCCCGCCCAGGGGAGGACACTCAGCATGACTCGGGGACCCCCTTTCACAAGTCAGAGTGGCGTGGACAGGGCCCCTAAAAGACAGAATGGTGTCCATGCAGCTGCAGCTCCCTGGCGCCCTTTCCCAGCTCCAGGGGCACGTGGGGACGGGGCTGGGGGTGAGCGTCTGGACAGTCTCTTCCCACGAGTCTCCACTGTCATGCAGGAAACTCAGGGGAGGCAAAAACAGCCCAGGGGGTGGCCTCTGCACCCGAGAGAGGAAAGATCGGGGGGCTTGGTGGGGGTGGCCTGCTCGGCGAGGACTCTGGCCACCCCCCGTCGGACGCATCATCTGGGGTAGTAGTTGTCGGGGACCCCCGTGAGGTTCCTCCCCCGGAGCGCGGCGTCTACCATCTTGATGTAGGCAGAGATGGCCTTCTGCATGTCGGCGGTGTAGGGGTCATACTCCAGCTTCCGCAGCCCCGAGCGCTTGAAATTGCCGTCCTTCTGGCTCTCCACGCAGAGCAGCCGGTCCTCCCGGACAGCCACGCCCAGCAGGCTGACCATGCGGCCCAGCTGGACAAACAGGTCCTGCTTCAGGTCCTCGAAGTGAACCACCAGCACCTTCTTGCCAAACCGGAGCCAGTCCAGCGTGTGGGTGGCCCACCATGGGGCATAGTTCCGCACGAACTCTGGCCACTCTGCAGACACAGGGACAGGGGCTGTGTGAGCTACGTGGGCCCAGCGGCCACCCACCGGTCAGTGGCCAGGGCAGTGGATGTCATCATTTACCATCATGACAGCCTTGAAGTCATTGGGCTTTCTGGGTCCCTCCCACCATGGCCCCTGTCTGCTCAGGGTCCAACCAGGCCAGGACCTCTGGAACCCACATGGGGTGCAGTCACGTGCTCTATCTCTGGAGCTCTCGCCTTGACCACTCTGGTCCTTCCCTGGGGGTGGGGTTAACTCTAACATTTCTGAGGAGGCACAGCCTTATAGCCTGTTACTGTGTTGTGTGATGTTTTCTGCTGTTGTTGTACCGGTATGTAACACTGTCCTCCCATTGTTCATCGATTTGCTCAAGCGGGCCTGGTAACATCTCCATTTTGAGACTTGTTACTGTGTTTGGAATATCGAATACACCATGGGGAGCTTGCCAGGCTTTGGTGTGAGGGCGAGATACTCTCGGTAGCTTGCCAGGCTCTCCAAGAGGGGTGGAGGAATCGAACCCGGCTTGGACGGGCTGACTGCGTGCAAGGCAAACGCCCTACCACTGTGCTATACAATAAAAAAAATATATAATAGGGGCCAGACAGATAGTACAGCAGGTAAGGAGCTTGCCGCGCACATGGTTGATAAGAGTTCAATCCCCGGCACCCTGTATGATCCCCTGAGCACCACCAGGAGTGATCCCTGAGCACAGAGCCAGGAGTAAGCCCTGAGTTCAGCTGAGTGTGGTCCCAAAACCAAATATATAGTTATATATAGTTATTGACTCCACGTGTCCCTCCCCATGAAGAGGCACCTCCTCCTCATCCCCCTTAAGAGAAGAGAAACAGGAGCCTCCAGGGAGGGCAAGGCATTTGCTCAAGGCCACACAGCTAATGATTGGCAGAGCAGGGATCTGAGGTCAATCAGTCTGGCTTGAAGTCTGGGCTTTTAACCACGGGGCTACCCTGTGCGGCCATAGTTATTCTGTGTAGTAGCCATCATCCTGGGTGATGAAGGGCTCTCTGGGTGGGAGGATGAGGAAGTGGAGGGAACAACAGGTGGGGATGCAGATGGGTGTCTGTGGGCAGCGACTCTTAACACACACTGGCTGTAGGCACTGCTGTGAGGATTTTGTTCTCAGGCTGCTTGGTAAATATTTATGGCAGTGACTTTGCATTTTTTAACCTTAAAGCAGATTATTTACAATATATCTGTCTAATTGGACCCATACTGTTATAATGGATTAAAAGCAGCTGTATCTGAGTGATTAGGGGGAAAATGCAGCTTTTATAAAGTCTAAGCTTTGTTTCTGCTTCTTTTTTTTTTGGTAAGTTCCCTACTCCTGAGTCACCCCCACAACATCCCTGGTGGTTTGGATGATTGTCCCCCCAGGTCTTGAGGAGGGAGATGGTGTTCGGTTGCCCAGTAACACACAGACCCCGACTTTAGGGTGATCCTCAATCAGTTGCTGGAGGAAAACTTCAGGGGGGTGGGTGGGGGGGGTCTGTGTCTGCCCATGGCAGCCTCAGACACAGTAATGAGGATGGATTCTGCCAGAAACATTCTCACACATATACATGCACTCTGCATGCACAACTGCACACACACACTCTGGCATGCACACACACATGCACTCCACATGCATACACACATACACTCACTCTGGCACGCACACATACCTACACACACTCCACATGCACACACACATGCACTCTGCACAAAAAACTGCACACACACTCCACATACACACACAGACATGCACTCTGCACACAGGACTGTGCACACAGGCACTACACATGAACATACATACATGTACTCTGCATGCACACATGCACACACATACATCATACACGCACACATGCATACATGCACTCTGCACGCACACATGCACGCAAATACACACAGTCTGGGATGCACACATGCACGCACACGGGCTCACTGACCGCTGCTCCCCTATCTTCCTGCCACAGAAGGTCCCTGGCCTGATTAATAGCTGAACTGCACTTAATTCCCTGGAGAATCATTAAACACGGTCTCTGTTTCATTAAACAGAACTGGGACAACTCACCTTGCGCAATCATTTCACATAAAACTTTGCTTTGGACCCACTCCAGGGAGACTCTAAAATTAATGTTCTGGAACCCGAAGAGTGTGCGTGTGATTGTGTGAGTGTGGTTGTGTGTATGTGTGTGTGTGTGTGTGTGTGTGTGTGTGTGTGATTGTGTGTGGGCAGGACATTCCGGGCCAAGGGTGTGCTACAGCTACAATCCTTGGAGCTTCTGGGGGAATCTCATTAAAATGCACGTTTGATCCAGTGACCTCAGGTGGGCCTGAGAGGTGCTTCCCTACAGCCACCCAGAGCCGTGGGGGTTAAAAGCAGGCCAGAGGCAGCCCTATCCTAGCACTTCCTTTTGGTGGGCCTGGGGGTGGGAGTGAGCCTGGGGGTTGCCTTTAGGAATCCCAACGGGATTCTGTTTCTGTACACACAGGAGGATGCTGATGCCCAGGAAAGGAAACAGGGTGGGGAGTGGGCTCTTTGGGGGGGCTGGGCAAGAGCACTGGAACCTGCCAAGCCTGGGAGGAGCTGCTGGACAGCCCCCCACACCCCCACCTCCATCAAAGCAAGCCCTAGACCCCCGATAGGAGAGGCGTGCCCCCTTCTTCCACCCCCTGCAATCCTCTGGCTCAGGCTGCCTGGACGCCACCTCCCCTCCGGGTCGGTTTCTGGGGTTGTGAGTAAGGACCAAGAGACACGAGGGGCCCCTGGAATGAGTATGAACCTGAGGCAAGGGGCTACGGCAGAGATCTGCACATGCCTCAGGGTCTCCCCACAAGGTAAGAGCAAGCCTGGGTTGGGGCTCAGGGGGCCCTGCCCGCCTTCCTTCCTGGGTGGTGTTCCCCACTGCAATGGTCTGGCCCCATGCTTCCATTCAGAGGAGGCTGGCAGGAGACCCGGAGCGCCAAGTCCTGTCCCTGCCTGAATCTCCCTCCCCCGGGGGACAACGGGGTGCCCAGGAGGTGGAGTGCTAGAGTTCAGTCCCACCACCACACACTTCATCACCCTGGCAGATGCCTGCCTCTCTCTGGGGCTCAGTTTCCCCACTTAGTGCTGCCTGCTGGGGGACCTGCTGTGCTGATGTCTGACCATGTCCTGGGCACGGTGGTCCCCCAACCCCCACACCCTTGGGGTTCCGAGATGCAAGCAGGACTCAGGACCCCGGAGCTGAGTGACCTCCTGGTCCTTTCACACGGCAATCATCGCTTCCTGGCACGGGCACCCACAGATCCGGCCCAGGGTTCACCTCTGACTCTGCAAATATTGGCTGCAGCTCTCTTGGCCACGAGGGAGCAAAAGTCACCACGTGTCTGAGCCCTCACCCCCACAGGGAGAGAGGGAGACGGGCGGGCGGAGGGGCAGAGTGTGCCTGAATGCACTAGAACCCCCCCCCCCCAATGAGGCCAGCCCTGGGGGCTGATCAATGATGTCGATCTGGAGGGTGTGGCCAGCAGCGGGCAGCTGATGAGTTAGTGACCCACTTAGTATATCCAGTCCCGGGAGGGCAGGACAGAGGGGGCGGGTGGAGGTGGGAGACGAGAATGGGCCCGGGTGTTGGGCCGAGTCTCCCCAAGGGCTCTGAGGCTCAGAGGACCCCACCGTGCCCCTCAGGACCTGGAAGTCCCCAGGCTTGGCTGGGCTCGGCTGCACCAAGCACAGAATCCCCGGCTCTCTCTCGAGCCCTACCGGGTAGATTTGTTTATTTTTCATCTTTTGGTTTTTGGGCCACACCTGGTGGTGTTTGGGGCTGACTCCTGGCTCTGTGCCCATGGATCACCCCTGGTGGGGGGTAGGGGGGCACGTGGGGTGCTGGGGATGGAACCCAGCTCGGCCGTCTACAAGGCAAGCAGCCTCCACTCCGGACTAGCACTCGGGTCCTTGCTGAGTGATCTGAGAGGGTTCGATTTCTAGAGATCACCCTTCCCCGCAGTGATGACGACCCCACACTTTACAGATAGGTTCTCCGGATCAAGGGGGTGAAGATGGTTCTTGCGGCAGGGGGAAGAACTGAGATCTGAACCCAAGAAATATCCATGTGGAGTGTGTGTGTGTGTCCTGAACCACACCAGAACCTTGAAGGGGTGTGTGTGTGTGTGTGTGTGTGTGTGTGTGTATTTCTGTGTGTAGGCCTGTGTGTGCTTGTGTGTCTGTGACCATGTGATTATACGTGTAGGTGTCCGTGTATATATGTGTGTATGTCTGTGCATTAGTGTGACTGTGTCTGTGCATGTGTTTCCGTGTGCTTCTGTGTATGTGTCTATCTGTGTATCTCTGGGGGTCTGTGTTTCTGTCTGTGTTGATATGTGTGTGGGTGACTATGTGTGGGCATGTCTCTCTGTGTATGTGTGCCTCTGTTTGTGTGTATCTGTGTGTTTTGTGTCTCTGTGTGTCTGTGTGTTTTTGTGTGTGTGTGATTGTGTCTGTGCAGGCATGAGTCTATGCCTGTGCTTTCGTGTATGTGTCTGTGTGTCTCTGTGTATATGTGTCTTTTTAATGTGTGTGTCTGTATGTGTGTGTGTGTGTCTCTCTTCGTGTGGACATGTTTCTCTCGATGTGTCTTTATGAGTCTTGGGTCGCTGTGTATGTGTGTTTCTGTTTGTCTCTGTATCTGTGTGTGTGTCTCGGGTCGCTGTGTGTGTATGCGTGTTTCTGTGTGCACCTCTGTACCTGTGTGTGTGTTTATAGCACAGCCCTATTCGGCAGACAGCTAACCCTGGAGCCTCACCCCATGCCCTTCCTGTGCCCCCAGCTCTCCTCGAAGGGGCACCCCTGGCTCTGCAGCCCCCGGCCCCCAGGCCCGGCCCTCCCCGCCATACCTTTGCCCTTCCAGTGTGCGTGGGCCGCGAAGCCGATGTGGCCGCCGTACTTGCGGTTGAACTCGGCCATGAGCGCCTTGTAGGGGTTCCGGATGAGCAGGATGGCGGCGTCGAAGGCCTCGATCTCTTTCTGGCCGCTCTCATGTGTCTTGATGCAGATGGTCCTCCCGCTGCGCCAGTGGTCCCGCTCACCTTTGAATCCTGCCCCCAGCACGGGAGGGGGTGAGAACACAGCTGGTGAGGCCAGGCCGCCAAGAGGTTCCCTCCCCCGTCCCACTGAGGGTACCCCAGGTGTCCACACACCTACCAGCCTTCTCTCACTTGTTCCCTGAGGCCATGTTTCATGAGCACCTACTATGTGGCCGACACAATAATTTCCCCAAAGTGTCTGAGTCTTCTTAGTTTTGTGAATCTGCTTTATGTAGGATGGTACGTGGCAACCAGGTCAGTGGTCATGTGTGGGTGCCTGGAGGGGCTGCTGGAAGGTCTGAGGGTGGCAGCTACACTCCCCCACCCAGATGGGGAGAGAGGTGGGTGTCTGCCAGTGTCCCGGCTGGCCCTGTTCCCGCTTGCTCCTCTGCCTCCGAGGGAGAAGGACGTGCCTGGGGTGGGGGCTGGTGGTGAGGGGCGCCGGGGAGAGACCAGGGTCCGGTTGGCAGTGTGGAGCAGAGTCCAGCCCACTCCCCTGTCCAGTGAAACCCACATGCTCTCCCCGCTGGGCTCCCAGACTCCCTCCGGGAGTCTCATTCGAGAAACCCAGGCAGCCCGTGAACAGAGACCATCAGGCCCAAAGTAAAATGCCCCCGAGATACTCCGCGTCCCTTGATGCTCAGATAACAGCGATAACCAACCGGCAAAATCCCCTAAATTCTATTAGATCTTGCTGCACTGGTGGTTTTTTTTTTTCCCCTGGGGGACGGGGTGGTGGGCTGGAGGGGAGCAGTTTGGGCCACACCCAGGGTACTCAAGGGCTACTCCTTGCTCTGTGCTCAGTCACGACCGCCCGGTGGTGCTCAGGGGACCCTATGCGGTGTTAGGGTTGGAACCAGGGTCATTTGCACGCAAGAGAAGCACCTCAGCCCAGAACCGTCCCCCGGCCCCTTTCCTGTTTATGATCCCGGCGCTGGTTGCCATCAAACGCGACTGTCCTTTTCTTCCCTGGAGTCTGAAATCCTGTTCCAGCTGTGAGCGGCAAAGCAACTCTGGCAGGGGAGAATCAGGCAGACTGTTCTGGGTCTGAACCCTTGCCGGGACCCTCTGATCGAGCCTTTGATTTTCACCGCGACCTTTGATTCCGTGGGGCACACACTACGAGCATCAGTGATCCATGAATGAGCAGGACAACCCGGACGCGTCCCTCCTGCCTGCTCTGATTTGTGCCTGAGGAAGCAGGACCAGAGAGGTACAGTGACCTGCTCAAAGCGACAGAGCCAGGAAACGGTCTTCCGGGCTTCCGTGGCAGGCAGACAGGATGCCCCAGAGCCAAAGACGGCTGCTCCTGTAGACTCAGCCCCCCTCAGAGGCGGCATCCCTGCTCCCTGCACACCCACCGGCACTCCTGCCCCACCCCCGGCTCTCAGGAACGGCATCTCTGGGAGGTGGAATACTGACACTGTGAACTTTGAAACTGGACATGCTTCACGGTCAGTCCTCGCTGGTCCATCGAGTAAGATCTCTGTCGCTCGGGCCAAATTGCTTCTCTTCTCCAGTCTCAGCATTTACACCAGTGGCACCTTATCCGCCCCCCCCCCCACCCCCCCGCCCTGGCCTTGGCACCTTCTCTGCAGGAGACAGAGGCAGACCTGGCTCAGTTCCGGGCACCAAACAGTGGCACAGCCCACAGTCCACAGCCAGGGCTTCTGGGAGCTCTGCAGGTGCCCGCTGGGCCGCCAAATGGGCAAAGCCTCTGTGGGGGGAGGAAACGGACTCGGCGTGGACGAGACCCAGGGAAACAGTAGGATCCCCCTCGACGTCTGCCAAGGGAACCCGATTCCACTTCCGAGCGGAGCACTGCCTTTCAGCCTCACCCCACCAGCAGGCAGACTGTCAGTCACGTAGCACGATGCCGCCAGCTGGACAGAACCGCAGAGCAGCAGAAAGGCCGGGCCAGGGACCGGCTATTGAAAACAACTGATCTTGCTGGTCCGACAGGGTCTCAGTCCCTGCACACAGGAGAGACTCAGCAAACATGTGCAGTGACCTAAGAGAGGGGAAGGTGCCAGGCACATAGTAGGTGCTTAATAAATGTGCCCGATCCAATGAATGCAGGCAGGGACTCGGAATCTCAGGAAATGCGTGCGGGCTCTAAGGGGAGGGAAGGAGCTACTCGGAAGGGGAGTTCCGAGGCCTCCTGGGCGAGCCCTTCCCCTGGCCCAGCCAGCACTCCCAAGGCCCCCTGCCTCCTTACCTTGATCTTTGGGGGGGTGGGGGAAGGCAGTGCTCAGGGCTCACTCCGGCTCTGTGCTCAGGGCTCACTCCCGGCTCTGCACTCAGGGCTCACTCCTGGTTCTGTGCTCAGGGATATCCCCAACTCTGTGCTCAAGGCGCACTCCTGGTTCTGTGCTCAGGGCTCACTCCTGGCTCTGTGCTCAGGGCTCACTCCTGGTTCTGTGCTCAGGGCTCACTCCTGGCTCTGTGCTCAGGGCTCACTCCTGGTTCTGTGCTCAGGGATATCCCCAACTCTGTGCTCAAGGCGCACTCCTGGTTCTGTGCTCAGGGCTCACTCCTGGCTCTGTGCTCAGGGCTCACTCCCGGCTCTGTGCTCAGGGCTCACTTCCGGCTCTGCACTCAGGGCTCACTCCTGGTTCTGTGCTCAGGGATATCCCCAACTCTGTGCTCAAGGCGCACTCCTGGTTCTGTGCTCAGGGCTCACTCCTGGCTCTGTGCTCAGGGCTCACTCCTGGCTCTGCACTCAGGGGTCACTCGTGGCAGGGCTCAGGGGACCATATACAGTCCCAGAGATTCAACCCAGGTTGGCCGTGTGCCAGGCAAGCGCCCTACCGGCTGAGCCGTCTCTCTGTCCCCGTTGTCCCCCTCACCTTTGTTGTAGAGAGAGCCATCGAAGTAGTAGCTGCCCGTGTAGAAGCCAGTGGCCAGCTCGATGAGGTGGCGGGCCCACGTGTTGCCGGCGCCCGGGAAGCTGGCCAGAGCGATGAGCTGTTTGGACTTGGCAGGGAGGAACCGTCGGTCCATGCAGCGATTGTCTGCAAAGGCAGGGCACAGATGGGGCAGGTGGGCACCTGGACGCCCACTGTTCCTCCAATCCCTGCTCCTGAGCCCTTGGGAGGAACCTTGCCAGCCTCTAGTAACCCTATTTTTTTTTGCTTTTTTTGGGGGGGGGTCACACCTGGAGATGCTCAGGGATTACTCCTGGCTTTGTGCTCAGGAATCACTCCTGGCAGTGCTCAGGGGACCATATGGGATGCTGGGAATCGAACCCAGGTCAGCCGTGTGCAAGGCAAATGCCCTACCCGCTGTGCTATTGCTCCAGCCCCTAGTCACCCCATTTATAAAACAGGAACAACTACCCTGTCCCCAAGCCACCCCAGGCTGACCGAAGGGTTCCACCACAGGTGAAAGGGAAGGACCAGCCCTCTCCCCAGCCTCAGTTTCCCCTGGCACAGCAAGCTGCTTTCTCACACCTCCCCCGACCCCTGATGCTTTGCTCTAGATCAGAACACTAAAAAAAGCAAGACAGTGCCGGCTCCAGTTTGGATCATTCCATTTTCTTTTTCCAGGAGCTTTGCTTTTCTTCTTGATAATGAAATGTTGGGAGGAAAGGAAGGAGAATCTGGCCTCTTGATTTCCCTGGAAACAAACTCTCCAAACACTGTCTGGGGGGCTCAAACCCTCTCTGGGAAGACTGATGCTTTTATCACATCAGAGGAAGTTTCTTTAGCTCCTGTATGTCACTTGGGAATCACTGCCTGATGGTGCATAAGCATTACTCCTGGCTCTGTGCTCAGTGGGCCACTCCCGGCAGTGCTTGGAGGACCATGAGGTACCAGGAACCGAGCCTGGGGCTCCCTGTGTTCTGCCTGCACCCGGCACCACAAGCAGAATCTCTCCAACACCTGTTTGGTTCATTTTTGCTTTTGTTTTTGCTTTTTGAGCTACACCCGGCAATGCTCGGGGTTTACTCCTGGCTCTGCACTCAGGAATCACTCCTGGCAGTGCTCGGGGGACCATATGGGATGCCGGGGATTGAATCCTGGTCAGCCGTGTGCAAGGCAAACGCCCTCTCCACTGTGCCATCCCTCCAGCCCCTCCCATTTGGTTCTTAAGCTTCGAAAGTCCACGCAGATGCTGAAGGTGGAATCGTCTGGAGCTCTGGAGCCAGACAGAGCTCTGGGGCCCCGACAGGCTGGCCGGCCTCTTGGCTGTGCCACCCAGCACCCGACTCTTCCCCTCTCCAAGCCTCAGCCCCCACAGCTGCTCATCGGGGCGCAGAAATGACTTAAAAGAGCACGTGGCCAGAGCCGGGAAAGTCTGGGAAGATGCTGCAGATGGGGCTAGAGGCGCGGGGCTCGGTGGCTTCAGTCTGATCCCCCGCTGCCACCGGCCAGTGCTGTGACTTGGCCCAGTGACCAGGCCTCTCCGTGCCAGCTGGAAGTTGGCAGTGGTCACAGCACAGGTGCCACTGGACTCCAGGAGGCTGAGCTTGCCCAGCTGGAAAGGCCCCAGGGCTCAGCAGGCACCTGCGAACGGGAACACTGGGGCCCTGCAGGCTGGAGGTGCTCAGAAGTGGCAGCGCCAAGGGCAGCCTCCGGGCGACTGATTAAACTGAGCATCTCCGCAGCCTCCCTGGCATGTGGGACGGCGAGCCCCAGGGAAGCTCTTGATGGAAAAGGCTCCCACTTGTACCCCATCATAGCCATCCACCTTCCCCAGGGGAAGTTGATCGGTCGGTCTGTGATGTCCCCCCAGGCTGGGGCCACGCAGCTGAGCACAGAGTAACCCACAGGTCCTAGAAACCCACAGAGGCCCACCCAGCCTCACTGGCGTGGGCAGCAAGCCCAGAGCGGGCCTTGGCAGAGCCGAGTGGGGGTCTGGGGCTCATGGACCACCCTGCATTGGACAGAGGGGGGCAGCTTTGCGCAGAGCTGCCACTGATCCTGGCAACACCTTTGAGCGTCAGGAAGGTGCCACCCTCGCCCTGGGCTGGGGGGAGCAGGCTGGGGGCAGCTCCCTTCTCCTGCTGTGCTCGGGCAGTGCCTGGCCTCCCGAGCTGGGACTGAGGGGGTGGGTGAGGCCGAAAGGGTTTTGCTGGTTCTCCAGGTTTGGATGGGGGCGTGAGGTGTTCTCTGGGCTGTGACCAGAGGTTTCTAACAGGGGCTAGGAGTCAGAACGCTGAAAGGAAAGTGCCCTCGTGGGGGACTGGCCAGGCCCCAGCACGTGGGGGCTCCAGTGTCCTGGCTGTGGCGGGCACAGGGCTGGCCTGATCAGAGGGTCATTCTGGGGCTGTGCTCAGTGTGATGAAGCCTGGCAGAGGACACACATCTCGTCGGGTGACATATGGGTAGACACTGGGCTCATCTTTTAGGGGTCTTGTTGGCCCCCTCCCCAATGCCGCCCTGCTCACCCAGAGAGTGTTTTGGTCTAGCTGTGTTATGAATGCTGTGGCCTTGGGCAAGCCCCTCACTCGGAGTCTCCACGTCCTTCCTAGAAAGGGGGCACGGGACTGGCTCCCACCTTAGGGAAGAGATGAGGGCACCGAGGGCGAAGATGCAGAGGAAGGGTTTAACCCTCAGGGGCACAAAGGAAGTTCCGGAGAAATCTTATCATTGAGCCTCTACCTCTATCACTACCATCACCACCATCACTGCCACCATCACCATCACCACCATCACCACCATTACAACCACCATCACCACCATCACTGCCACCATCACCACCATTACCACCACCATGACCATCACCATCACTATCTTCACCATCACCATCACCACCATCACCACCATTACCACCACATTCATCATCACCATCACCACCACCATCACTGTTCCCACCACCATCACCATCATCACTACAACCAGCTCCTCATCACCGACCTCCTCATCACCAACTCCACCATCATACTTCTAACAACCATCGCCACCACCATGACTAACACCACTACCGCCACCATACCACCGCAGTCACCATCACCACCACAGTTTTATCATTGAACATTGGGAGCTGCCGGAGAGAGAATTGGAGAGGGACGGCTGAGGACAGGCACTGACCTGGGGCTGCCGACCCTGCAGATTCTATGACAAAGGAAGAGGAAGTGGAGAGAGGGACAGAGTGGCTTGAAGAAAGAAAGGGGGGGCCAGAATGATAGAACAGCAGAGAGGGCATTTGCCTATCAAGTGGTTGACCCAGGTTTGACCCTTGGCATCCCATCTGGTCCCCTGAGCACTGCTAAGAGTCATTCCTGAGTGTCGAGCCAGGAGTAACCCCTGAGCATCACTGGGTGTGACTCAAAAAGAAAAAACATAAAAATATATAATCATTGAGAGAAAGGAAGGAAGGAAGGAAGGAAGGAAGGAAGGAAGGAAGGAAGGAAGGAAGAAAGGAAGAGAGAACAGGGACTTAGAGGAAAAGGGACAGAATCTCATTGTGAAGGACCCTTGGAGGCTGGTCAATGACTGACAATCCTATTTTACAGCAAGAGGAAGCCAGGCCTAGGGCGGGTGGCAGCTAACCCAGGAGCATGCGGTGGTGTGTGGGGAAGGGCTGGGTGCCCCCCGCTCACCAGGTACCCCCCACGGTGCTGTGAAAAGCGCTGCATGGAGGCCATGGGGAGGCTGGGGGGATGGAGTCACAGAGCCCCCTGCCCCGCCGGTTGCCCGCCTGCCCGGGGCTCACCTTGGACCTGCGTCTGGTAGACGATGAAGTAGCGGGGGGTGCCGCAGCTCTCAAACTCCTCGGCGCTGCACTTCTGGGCGCAGAGCTGCTCGTCCTCTCTGTCGTGCAGCGGGAAGCGCGTGGTGGGGAAGCCACAATGGCAGGCAGTGCCCGCCAGGGCCGCCAGCGGGTACTCCTGGGGGTGGCGAGAGACAGGGAGAGGACAGGCACTGACCTGGGGCTGCCGACCCTGCGGGCAGAGCCCCCATCACCTCCTTCAGCCCCGTCCTGTGTCCCTCTCCTAACCGGAGGTTCCCCCAACTCCATCCATCAGGCCCAGGTGGGCAATTCCTCCCCCTGTGCAGGTACCCTGGGACTCTCTTGTGTCCCCAGCTTTATGGAGGTTTAACGGACAGACAGACAATGGACACCTTCTCAGGGCCTGTACAAACACCTGACGGCCATCACCCGCCCTGGAAGTACCACAATCAGGGATGCACTCAATTACCAGAGTTGATCTTCTCAAGGCACATGGTCACCCAGGCCAGGGCCAGACCCAGGAACTGACCAGAGTGAAAGTGTCAGGGACCAGGAGTGAGACCCCCCGGGTCTGAGTAGGTTCTTTTGGTCAAAGAACAAAGTAGGTTCCAAGTGGCAAAACTTGACAAGAATATGAAGACACAGATGATTGGGGTTGATGGGCTTGGCGGGGGTGGGGGGGGGCAAGGGTTTGGGCTATCCCCGTTGATGCTCAGAGCTTACTCCTGGTCTGCCCTCAAGGATCACTCCCGGTGGTTGGAGGACCCCATGGGGTGCCGGGGATCCAACCAGGGTCAGCTTTGTGCAAGGCAAACATCCACCTCCTTTTAATTCTCTCTGGCCCCAGGGTTGATGCTTTGCTTGTGAATATTATGTGATACTTACGGAAATGATAAAGGACACAGTGTGGAAGGAAACCATCAAGGAACAAAGGCCGATGGCAAAATGTCAGCAATTTGCTCTGCGATGCCAGGGGAGAAACGGCCTTTGTTCTGAAAGGTGGAGCCTGCGTCTAATTTTAAAATAGTGCCTTTAAAAGTAAATAGAAAATAACTCGCGGGGGAGAAGACTCCTGGTACCATCTGCCGCCTGATACGCACAGACAAGGCGGTCACCGCCGCAATCCAACCAACGACTCTCGCCTCCTCGGTCACTCTGTCTGTGGCCTCTCTTGCTCTCTGGTCCTTCGCCACCCACCCATCTCTCTGAAGTCAATGGCCTTCAGAAGCTTTCACTTCAAAGCAACCCTGGCATCGTTCCCCCGCCCCACCCCCAAGCACTACTCAGGGAGCAGACGTCCCAGCCTCTCTGTTCTGCAGACAGATGTGACCGGAAGCAAAAAACCCAGCTCAACTGAAAGTAGACAGCGTGCCGGGGGTGGGGGTGGGTGGGTGAGGGTCCCCCAACTTTCCTGTGAAAGGGCGACTGGTGGAGGGGCGTGAGTAGGGGAAAGACACTTTGGTTTCTCCCTCCTGGAGGGGTGAAAACGATCATGGCGGCGTCTTTCTGTCTGTCCCAGGCCCATGGACCCCCGAGGGTGACCCCTGAGGTCTGACAGTGACAGGAGGCCCACGCTTTAGGGACAGCTGCAGCCGCATTATTGATCCTCTGTGCAACCCCAGGCCCCTGGGGACAGCCACTCCTCACTGCCTCAATTGGCTCTCTCCAACAGCCCCACCCAGTCTGCCCCGGGAACAGCCTTCGAGGAAGTGGGCAGGGTGGGAGCTGGGAGGAGCCGCCCATGGCCATCGGCTCCAGGCCCCAGACCTGGATGCTGCCGGAAGCAGCTGCTTCCGGGAACCCCTAACCAGCCAAGCTCTCTGCTCCGTGGCTCAGGGCCCGTCCACACAGCTGCTGTGGCTCTAACAGTTACTGACGAGGACCGGCAGCGTCTGACGGAAGATGGGAGCAAAGACGCAGGAGCACTTGGGACCCGACTGGGGGCATTTCGTTCTGACCAGGGGCAAGGTGGGCCACACCCGGTGATGCTCAGGGGTCACTCCTGGCTCTGCATTCAGGAGTCACTACTGGCATCCCTCAGGGAACCACACGAGGTGCCGGGGATTGAACCCTGGTCAGCTACATGCATGGCAAGCACCCCACCTACCTTACCATTATTTTTCACTTATTTGAAGGACTCACCATGAGATGCAGTGACAGGCTTACAAACTTCCGTGATTACACTGCAGTCATACAATGAACGAATACCCATTCCCCCACCAGTGCCCATTTTCTACCACCAATGTTCCCAGGGTCCCTCAGCCACCCCCACCCCTTCTCACGCCCCCCACCTCTGTGGCTGGCACATTTCCTCTTACTCTCTCTCTCCTTTTGGGTGTTATGGTTTGCAATACAGGCACTAAGCAGCCATCATGTTTGGTCCATAGTCTACTTTCAGCACGCATCTCCCGTCCCGAACAAGCCCTCCAAAGCATCATTTACGTAGTGGTCTCTTCTCCATCCCAGCTACCTCCTTTACTATCGCTCTGGCCCTGCTTGAGTTTCCTGGACCCCGAGAGTCCTTTGACACTTAAAGGGGAAGGAAAGGGCCGTGGAGTTGCAAGCAAGGTCTTGATGATTTGGGGCTGAGCTTTGGAACTCATGGAGTTGACCGGGCCGCTGACCTCAGCAGTGTCTGCCATCCAGTGCCTCGGCCGAGGAAGGCCCCAAGAGCATCCAGGCCACCTGCTCCCTGGTGCCCTCAGGCCTAAATGTTGCACTGCTAGGACAGGACCCTCCTGCCGCCATGGGCTGGGATGGGCAACCGTGCCAGAGGCATCAGCTGCCCAGGCCTGTTTACATGCTGTCCCCAATGTGAGCATTCAGCATCCCTCCTCGGGAAAAGACCTCCCTGGAGAATGGCCAATACCAAGGTCTACTCAAACTGGCACTGCTGGGAGAGCCCCCCGAGATGTGCTCCCCCATCACAGGTCACAGGAATGCCCCTTCTTCCCGCCAGGCGTGGGGGCCCACACCCCTCCCCAAGCTCCTGAAATGGGCCCCAGGCTCACCTTCTCGGTGCAGAGGTCAACACACTTGTCCACGGACATGTTGAGCATGGCCACGGTCACGGGCAAGGCCAGGGACAGGTTTTCAGGCCTGCGGAAGCAGCCTCGAAAGACGGCGCTTCCGTCTGGAGAGCCAGAGAGGAAACGAACGGGGCGTCAGATGGAGTGGGGGGGAAGCCGAAGGTCTGAGGCGGCCAAAACCCTGCCCGGGGCCACCCCGTTAGCCAAGAGGGAGGCTACTGGGGACCCGACCCCGGCCTGGCCGCCAGCACCCCAGGCCTCTGACACTGCCCCCTCCCCCGCCCCCGCCTTCGTGTCTCCTTTCTGGATCTTGCTTGGTGTCACAGCTCGGGACACGCGTCACACCCTTACCAGAAGGCCGCACATTTGGGGGCAGGCGTGGGTAAGCAAAGGTGTGAGCAGGGAAAACAGAATGCCGGGACCCTCTGGGCTGCATGGGGCAGTCTGAAGGCCCCGCCTGCTCTCTCCCCACTCAAGCAGCCCCATCAGCAACTCAGGGAAACTGTGTCTCACAGGCTCTACGGGGCAAGGAGGGCACTGGGGAGTGGGGAATGATGAGCCAGGGCTGGTCCCCCTCTCAGCCTGGACGGTGTGAACTGCACCCAGAGTGACCTCGCATGAAGGGAAGAGGTCTGGCCCGGGATCTGTACGCTCACCGCAGCCTTATTTACATTTACCTTATTATTATTATTATTATTATTAATTATTATTACTGTATTATTACAGAGGGGCTGGCAACAAAGCCCTGGGTGAGCTGGGAGTAGAATGGGAGCTTGGAGGAGTCTGTGCATCAGGAACAGGGGCGCTGGGTGCTGGGGACAAGGCACCAGGCTTAGGGGCACTTGGACTCTGCCTCTGTCCCGGGTGCCAGCCCTGAACACTGCCCGGTGTGGCTCGGGAGACCCCTGTGCTGTGATCCAGGGTCACAGCTAGCACTGCCAGGTTGTCCCCTGGGTCCGGAGAACTGCTTGGGAAGCTCCCTGCCAAAAAAAAAAATGATGTTCAAGCTTAGTCCAGAGACAAAGGCGAATGCAAGGTACATGCCCACTGAGAACTGAGAACATCAAACTCCACGTGTTGGAAAATGTCAGCTTGGCCAAGAGGATCTCTCAGCACCAATCTTGCAAGCATCGTGGGCAGACGGGGGCCCTGGAGGGCTCTCGGAGAAGCAAGAGCCATGGTTGATCTTGGAGCCGCCTGACAAGGTGTAGGCATAGGAACCCCAGTTTGGACAAAAACTTGTTCTTGGGATTGCCTTAAAGTTCGGGAATTGGGGCGGGAGAGATAGTACGGTGGTTAGGGCACTGGCGGATTGCATGCTGGGTTCAATCCCAGCGTCCCATATGGCCCCTGGGTACCGCCAGGAGTGACTCGTGAGTGCAGAACTAGGAGGAACCTCCGAGGACCACCAGGTGTGACCCAAAATAAAACAAAAGTCTGGAGATTGACAAGTTTTACTGACACAGAGAGATTTCCCTCAAAAGTTTGGGTGCGCCTTGTCCAATTAGTTGAAGCAAGGCCTGAAGTACCCCCAGAAACGAAGGAAATGCCCCCAAACCACGGAGTTACCTCCTGCTTGGATTCCCAGACTATGGTGGGTCCCCTGGGTGTCATTCAGCTTGTCAGTGAGGCAGAAACCAACCCTTCAATAAATCTCCTAATGCACTAGCAATACCTAGAATTACACTAACACGATGATTATATCACTCTTACTCTACGGCAATAATCATAATGATAGACTCATACACATATCCATCTATTCTTCTGGTTCTGTTCGTAGAACTCTGACAGGACAGAATTATGTGGTAATTTTGACTTCTGACTCTTAAACACCGAGGGACCGTGACCTGCCATTGGATGGAAACGAACGTTTTAGGCATAGAATGTGACTCTACTTCCGTTTCCATCTCTTGGTAAGGTTTTTTGAATTCTTTGTATAGCTGCATATGCTTTTCTGTAATAAAGACAAGTTTAACAAATTTAAAGTACGGGTCCCGAGAGATAGCACAGTGGCTAAGCACTTGTCCTGCATGCAGCCGACCTGGACTCAACACTGGCATGGCCGCTGGTTGCTGAGCACTGTCAGGGGTGAGCCTGAGAGCACCCGCAGGCATCTTTGTGTCCTCCCATGCCTCTGATGGCCAGCAAACCTAATGGGGGGATGGGGCTGGGAGAGGGAGGGCGGCAGGTTGGGGCTCTCTCTCTCTGGGTTGCCTGGCAACCATGCAGCAGAAGGGAGGGGTCCCCTGTGACCCTCACCTACCCTGCAGGCCGGGTACTTCTCCACAGCCCCCCAGAGCCAGCACCTGGTTCTGCATCTCCGATTCCTTTGCTGCCTACAAAGCCTTGGCAGGCACAGAAGGAGAGCGGGTACTGGGGCTTCTGCCAGAGGCCCGGTCAGCGGGGTGTCTCCCCAGGAGGCTGAAACCATGGGCCCCCTCTCCTGGAGCTGAGCACGAGGGCTTTCGACGCTCCCCAAGGATGTGTGGCAGGTGGAGAGAGGGCACAGTTGCTGGGATGCCTGCTTGCGGGGGCATCCCTGCAGGCTCCTGCAGCCCCAGCTCAGGGCCTCTCAGGGAGGCCTCCCTGGCCACGGTCTGTGCTTTCTGGGGGGGGTCTCTCTCAGGCTCCTTCTGGTGGGACCCGAGGCTGGGGGCCCAGCCAGGGGCTCCGGCAGTGGCCATGCAGCCGGGCCCTACAGCGGAAGCTGAGCTCGTCCCTGCACCAGCCACTCAGGCTGAGTTGCCCTGGCCAAGCGACTCCTGTCCAGAGCTTAGGCCAGAGCATGAGTTTTCTTTTTGGGTCACACTCAGCAATGCACAGGGGTTACTCCTGGCGGTGCTCGGGGGACCCTGTGGGATGCTGGGAATCAAATCGGGTCGGCTGCGTGCAAGGCAAATGCCCTCCCCGCTGTGCTGTCGCTCCAGCCCCCTGTTCAGCTCAGCTTCTCCAGGGACGCAGCTGTCCCCTGCCACATGGGCAGCATCCCCAGGAAGGTGCCCCTGGCACCTCCCTCCTGCCCCAACCTGGACCTGGGGCAACTTCCTCTCTATGCACAGGGGGGCAAGCCCATTGGCTGCCCTGCCCCAGAGGCCAGAGATGAGCCTCGTGAACCGCAGTGTGAGGGGTGGAAGGAGAAGGAGCTCCTTGGGTGTCTGTCCATCTGTCTCCCTAACCCGCTGCTCTTACACTGGGGGAGGGCATGGAGGCCCCCAGCCTAGCATCTCTGCCAGGGATCCCCCCACCAGCCTGGCCCTGGGGAGGCGGAAGGCAAGGGTGGGAAAACAAAGGGAGGTGTTGGGCCCAGCTCAGCCAGCTTGGGCTCCCTCTGACATTTAAGCATCTGCTAATGAGTCCCTGACCTCAGCTTACAAGGGAAGGCAGAGCACCGGGTCCTGAATACTAACTCAGGTGAGGGCTTAGCTGCCTTAAAGGGCCAGCACAGGGTGAGGCGGAAGCTGAGGTTGAGGTGGGAGAGGGGAGGGAGGGGTCTCTCTGGTGGGAGGCATGGGCTGTGAGAGGACAGAGTGAGAAGTCTGGACCCCAGATCCGTTAACGTGCCAGATGGGATGTCTTTCTACTGTCCGGTCTATTCAACTATTTTTTTGCTTTTTGGGTCACACCCGGCGATGCACAGGGGTTCCTCCTGGCTCTGCACTCAGGAGTTACCCCTGGCGGTGCTCAGGGGACCATGTGGGATGCTGGGAATCAAACCGGGTTGACTGCATGCAAGGCAAATGCCCTACCCGATGTGCTGTCGCTCCAGCCCCCCATTCAACTTTTGAGGGGACAATGATGGATTCGTCAGGAGGGAGGGGGCTTTCTCAAGTCTGGTGGAAAGGGAGGGAGGATGGTCCTGGGCAGGGGGAGCACTCTGGAGGCCATTTCTAATTGCTGGCTACTCCCCTCCTTGGCTTGATGTGAACAAGACCTGACCTCATCAGGGAAACGCCAACTTAAAGTGTTCCAGGCCTTTGAATCTTTTCTGTCGGGGTCGGGGGGGAGGCGGGGAATCCGGCATGGAGTTGGGGCCGGATTTGGGGATTATAGATCCCCAGTCCATAGGCTGAGGAGGTGTCCCCCTGGAGGTGTGCGGTATAGGATCCTGGAGAGGAACCGGGAACAACAGCAGTGACCATCGCCACGGCCCTCCAGTGCCGCTATTGGCAGTGTGCCATGAGCTACACACGTCGCCTCGCACACACCCTGCTGCTCTCCTGGATCTCGGGCCATGGTCCCAAGATGAACGGGATTCTATTCCCCCACACTGGGCCCCCCAACACATGTAGAATGGTTAGGACAGGACCCGGCTCATTCCACATCACCGCCTCGTTTCCTCATCTCTCCGCCATTCTGCAGAAGTTGTCCCGTTCTGACATGCGAGGCTCCAGAGACAGCATGCTTAGCCCCTCCCCCCGGAGATTTCATGGAAACCTTCTCTGGGGCTGGGGGTCACCCCCAGAGTCTGGGGATCACAAGAGCCTTTGCCCCACCCTCTGACCAGGCCAGCTTTGCTTTGCCAGGCCAGCCGGGCGGGTGTGGTGCAGGCCATTATTCTCAAGAGGCGAACAGAGCGACCATCCATCAACCCTTTTACTGGGGGCAGAGCAAGCGACGCTGAAGAGCAGCTACAAAGATCTCTGAAGCCCTCTCATCCTTTTGTTCTGGGGCATCACAAAAGGGGAAAAATGAGGGAAATATCCACCAGGCAGAGACTTCAAGGCAGACATGGGAGAGTTCTCTTCGGTTTGAAGGAGGCCAGCCTCCCTGCCACCCCCTCGGGGTAATTAGGCCAGGCTCAATGGCATTAAAGATGCCAGCCAGGAGGGGCATAGGCGGTGAGCTGGGAGCTGTTAGCAGGGCCTGTAATCAGAGAGACTGAATTACAGAAGGAACCTAACTGTCCGAGGAGAATTCAATGCAGCTATTTTTAGGCCTCACCAAAGGCTCTGCAGGCGTTTGGAAATTCAAATCGCCTGAATTAGGTGCTATGGACTGAGACAAGGAGCTGCTCAGTTGAGGAACGGGTGTGTCACACCTCTCCTCCGAGACACGCACTGGGCTGTGTGTGTGGCAGAGTCTCTCTGGCCTGTCAGGCATAGCA